AATCGCAATGGAAGAAGCGCTAGCCGAAGGTTCGAGAAGATAAGGGTCCAGCTTGAATTCTAGCGCACGAATCCAAGCGGTATCTTTGGGGTCGTCAGGTCTGAGCGCGTGACAAGGGACAATAACTTCGAAAGAGGAAGCTGAGTTCATGATCGGACAGAAGATAACCACACGAGGAGCCTGGGAGAATGGGCAAAAAAAAAAAAACAAGCAGCTTGTAGGCCGCGAAAGTTGTTATTTAAGGACTGGATCGAGGTCCGGCCCAGACGTAAATGATTTTCTCCCAGACTAAGGTTTAGTTTAGGACCATTGATTACAGTTTTGACCGTACCTCATGTCTTGGTCGTGACTGAAAACAAGCTGGTCTAATTGTCAACCCAGAGGGGACTGTGTGTATGCTTTTGTTTTTTTTTTTTTTTTTTTTTTTTTGGTGGAACCCCAGTAGCTTTCGCAATACATGGTCGTGTATTTGGGGTTTGTGTAGGGAGATAAGATCCCATAGAGTGGTCTGCCGGTCTGCCACCGCGGGGAAATGCGTTGCGCACTGGCCGGTTATCGGCGCGGTGTGGGACTCCCGGCCCCGGTCATGGGGGGTCCGGTATACCCACTAAAACCCCGGGGCTGTTAAGCCAGTTGTCCGGCAGTTTCCTTTCATCGTGGAGGTTCCCGCTCCAGGTGAGCAGGACTAGCTTGGCTGGCAGGGCCTTTCGGCCGTATTTCTTACGATTTGTCAGGGCGATATCTTGTTGGAGTTTGTCGTTGAGGCCAGCTCGGAGGGCATTTCTGATTTCGCTCAGAGTGGTTCACGGGTGGTCGGGGTCAATGACTCTCCGGCATCTGGCCTTCCAGATTTGCCACGCGCACTCGGGGATTACTATTTGGTACAGTCTGGTTTCTCCTTTACTTAGGTTACCTTTACTGTTCATTATCTTAGTGATCGGGGCGGCCATCACGTGTGAAGTGTCTAACGTTGGGGGCCATGCAATTTTCCTTCGGTGGCACATTTTCTTGGCAGTTGACCACACCCATTCGCTATGGTTGAGGGGGCACTCAAATAGAATGTGAGTCATTGTTTCAGTTTGTTGGCATTGGTTGCACTCTCCCCGGTGTTCGAAGCCTGGGATTTTCTTCCAGTACTCGCCGATCTTGAGGCAGCCGTGGGTTAGCTTCCAAAGGAAGTTTCGGATCTCAGGAGAGATTTCTCTGCGGGTTTTCCCCATGCAATCCCAAATTTTCTCTTGTGAGGGGGAGGCATTGCCCAGGTTCTCCAGGGCTGACTGGATCTTAGCGATATTGTTGGTCGTTGTTGTTCTTACTTCAAGTTTCTTAGCTAACCTGGTCCTGCGGATTAGTCTCGTCGCTGTAGCTTGGTTCAGGGCATATAGGCGGGCTCCGCTCGGTATGTGGGGGAGGTGGGGCATAACGGGTGGGAGAGGATCCGGGTCTAGGAGGACACCTGTTGCGGCCAGGTTGTCCGCTTCTTCGTTTCCGTGGATCCCTGCGTGGCCCTTTAGCCATTCAAATGAGGTTGGGGTGAGTCTGGATCTTAGGGCGCTTACGGCCAGTTTGATGATGCACTGGTTTTTTATGTAGGCATAGTCCGAGTCTTCGTGGGATTCAAGGTTGTCGCAGAGGGTGTTGATACACCACTTCGAGTCGGATTTGATGTGGAGGTTTGATGATAGGGGCGTGGAGGTGGCGGCATGGTGTATAGCAAGTATTTCAGCTGTGTTATTGGATTGCGGGTAGCGTGGGTTTACTCTTTTGCTAGTGTTTCGGGGGTCGTCTGGGCCGTACCATACACCGAAGCCGGCATTCGCGTTTGTGTCGCCATTTTGGGGACAGGATCCGTCCGTGAACGCTACCACATTGCCAGGTTGCTGGGATTGGGGGGTCGGGTCCTTTGGGGTTTCCGGGGGGGTTTCTGGGGGGTTCTGCCGAATACTCTGTAGTAGTGGTGGAGCGGGGAACATAGTTGGGGGATGTGTGTATGCTTTTGGTGGGGGAAGGGCAAAACTGTTTGCGCATTATTCGTACCCACGGGAGTAAATATGCTGACACAGCGAATGAGTAGTATGTACTATGGTGTGCACCCGCCGTGGGAAAAATTTCGGAACAAAGTGAAGCAACCACTTAGCTATACATACTAAACCTAATAACCCCCCTTAGTAGAACGGACAAAAGCCACGTGCACAACTACGTAAATGAGGAAATATATTTTAAAACCAACTAGAGATACATGTCGTGAATATTATATTTATCATAAATAAATGATCAAGGTGTGGTAATCTGAATTGCTCGACTCTGAATCTGAACTACGGTATGAGCAACCCAACCCAACCGAACTCATTTTGAAAAAAATAGACACATACCCAATACACAGCCACCAACCCCAACCCAACTTCCCGACCCAATGCCCAACCCCGACCCAAATGCCCAACCCCCAACCCAAATGCCCAACTCCCAACCCAAATGCCCAACTCCCAACCCAAATGCCCAACCCCCGACCCAATTCCCAACCCACCAACCCAATTAGGCCCAACCCCCGCCCAGTGCCCCGGGGGAGTAAGAAAGAAAGAAAAAAAAAGGGCACAAACAGCCGTGAATCGAACTGGCACCCAACCCAGCCAAGAATGAAGGCAAATCATGAATTAGCCATTAGGCCGAGACACCGCTAATGCTATTCCTGGACTTAATTTGTAAATATGCTTCTAGTAACATTACAAATATGGAAAATCTGGAATCAGATTTGCGGAACTAATTTTATGATTTTCGAGAAATTTTTCAGCGCACGTGCCTGTGCATGTGACTTTTATCCGTTCTACTAAGGGGGGTTGTTAGGTTTACTGCTATACATCACTCTCTCATGGGGCTTATCCATTGACGTGGTATTTACGGTTGCCAAGCAGGATCCGACTCAAACGCCGCGCGTCATTTGGACTTTGAGCTCACCGCTACGGGCCTATACATAAGTCAATTGCGTTTCCAATGACTCCGGCGCTGTGGACATACCAGGTGCACCATCATTTTTTTGGAGCGAAATTCGCGTATCGGACAGGATACCGGTTTCCATTAAAGTAGATGTATACCTGCACTTATGAGCCCCAACCGCTGGGCATCTATATATACAGCCACTCCATACCTAGCCTCGTCACTTGGGTTTTTGTCGACTCCAAGCATACACTATGCGCTTCTTATTATTGTCTCAGGCCGAAATTTTATCACAAAACTTTGATAAGAAGCATAGTGGTGCAGCGCCTAGACCCAAGTGACGTAGTCAAAAATGCAATGCCCTTATGTATAGACGCGCAGCGGTTAGCTCAAAGTCGTGTGGCTCTCCAATCAGGGTTCTCACTAGCCGCTGTATCTCATGCCTTGATAACCAGGGGCTCAATAGCGCTGAAAACCATGCCATCACCATTCAAAACATTGATATCCCTGAACATCATAACATACTCTCTTCCGACATTTTCCGCTTGCACGATTTACTCTGTCCTTACCCTGTGATTTCAACGGGATGTTTCCTCCTGGACCTCCCTTGAACCTTCGTCAATTATTACTGCCACTCGCCCTATTTGCCTCTGCCTGAGCCTCTCGTTCTTGGAGGAATCTAGTCGATTATCGATACGGAATATAAATGTTACTGCGGTATCCTTATTCAGCTTCAGTGGTTGCTCGCTCTGGGCCTCCGCCCGAAGGTTCTCAATCGAGTAGTTCAAAGGCGCTAAACGTGCATTCTTGCATAGCTACATCTTGCGCACTGTCACGAAACTTTGGCATGGGGAAGGAAGACCAACTTTGTGGATCATAAGACCAGTCAGGATGCATCGCGCCCTCGGACGGGCTGTTGCACCTGCCCTTTAACCTCCATCCGACAACCCATGACTAGTCCAAACGAGTCTCTTGCTCAACATCATTTTCACAACTTTTGTAGGGATGTGTCTGGCCCTTAGATCGCCAGTCCTGTGACGCATGTCACCGCATGCATGTTGAATGCATCCCCTGCCCGATAAAGATTTCAAATGTGGTCAAGGTACGCGTTCGCCATTGTAGTGAAGGTCCGTATCATCGACCAGAGCTCGAGAGTGCGTGTCTGGAGGAGGTCGGGGCCTTGACTTCAGGCGACCCCACGTGTGTTGAGATAGGTACGTCCCTCTTTCTGTATGCTGTCATCCCTTCTACAATCTATCCATTCCTCCTTGTTCAATAGCATTGCTCCCCAAAACGCGAGAGTTCCTTTCATATCTGCGATCGATCCTTGGGGATACAACGGGTCAGCCCGTGGCTGACGTAAGAATCCCCTAGAGGCTGGGAACCTGCCTACGTTTCGCAACCAAGCGGGGACTATTTCAGCCAACGAGGGATCCTCCATCACAGTTCCACTGTCAAACGAACCCGGAAACGTGCCAGTTACTAATGATCCTGCAGCCTTCTACCCACCTTCTGCCATATACGAATGCGTCGGAAACATCGATCAATCATTCCTCTTGGATTTCGGTTCAGTCCCTTATCCCTTTCACATTCTCAATCCTGTAGCTAGCTCTTCCCCTAGTGAGTCTATTTCCCATAGCTCCACTTCCGTCCAAGGGAGGGCATCCTGCGGCGAAAATTGGGATTTTCTGACGCCAAACATCTCGCTCAATACTGGTAACTATGAGCTTGCGGGACCATCTACTGCGCTCCGTTCGCAATCAGGTACCTCTTCACTCTGGTGAGGCCCCGGGAATTGCCACTGCGAGTTGGAGCGAGGATGCTGTGAGTTGCCTTAGAAGTCTAGCTTGGAGTATGGGATACTGGCAGAGCGGCCCCTCCCGATGGTGGTACTCTTGTATAGGGGCATTCGTTTGAGGGTTTTGAGGTCAAGTGCCTTCTGTTTCTCTGCACGACTCAATGATGACATTAGTGCGGGCCAAAGATCACCCATAAACACTGTTCAGAGCAGCGCGAATCGTTATCCGCCGCGTGTCGTCCGATATCGCACAGCAGACCGAAGGCACAGTTAGTAAAGGAGTACGGGTGGTACCCCGACATGTACACAGTTTTCATTGGGTAGTGACTGCAAAGACGGCCTTAGATCCAATACAGCGGGGCGGTCATATTAGAGGAATACCGCGGAACATGAATGGAAATAAAACTTCGAGTCGTTCGGAAACATTCAAAGTTTGAGAGTTGATGTACATGCCACCATGAACGCGTCCAATCCTTGTTCGCGTGTGGTCGATCAGAAATGAGATATGAATGGCGAACTTTGACCATAGTTCCTCTAATGGACAGCCACACTGTTAGGTCATTGCGAGTTCGGAAAAGGGGAAAGACTGACTGTGGAGGCTATATGGACAACGCAGTCGCCTCTTCTTTGGCTCTCCCACCCTGCGTGTGAACGCCCAATCCGAGAACGGACTAAGCTAGGTTTTATCCCGAACTTCGGTGGAGTCATGATGTGGCCTGAAAAGAAGCCCATGGACATTAAGCGGGGAGCAAAAAGGGATAGCGCTTGCGGGTTAGGGGGAGAAGTAGGATTGGCAGAGGTAAACATCGCGCCAGTGGTACGGGATTGAGATGCTGATTCGTGAATGATCCAACTTTTCACACGTCACCGAGCTATGGGTGACTCCTAAATCAAAGTAAGGGTTCTGCGAATTGGTCGTGCTTCGGTTTGCGAGAGCTTCTCCGGCGATCGAGTAGCACAAGAGCGTCTCCAATCGCCGTACTGAACTTCAACAGTATCAGTGTAGCAGGTAGTGAAGTTTAAAGTTGGCGCACGCGTGCGGATCACAATTGAAGTATCAGAGGTTCCGGGCACTGGAAGGAGCGTACCTTAAACCCATGGTGGCCGATCCGCCACCCTAATAGCCATTGAATTCTAACATCAAGCCACAGACAATGTGGAAAAAACTTGGCGGCCCAGAAATGCCATACGTCTCATAGAGTTGTCTGACAACGAGGGGATCAGTTGAGAAATGATGATGGAGGGTCTGACCAGGAATTTGAAATGTCAGGTGATCTGTTTCAAGCTGTCAATGACCATCATTTCGTCTTGCACCATCCTCCGGAGATATATAGACTTAATTGAGAGATGGGTCCCTTTGGCCTTGTACTCCTCCTTATTTTCCCAACCATTTTGATTCCATGCCTTCACGGTGTTTTGTCTGTCGACTGAGACGAAAGGTGGGCTCTTCGATGTAGCATGGCGCGAATAAATTCTCTACATTCCATCTTAACCCGTACACCGGTCCCCTCTTCATCCCTCGATGCTTACCCACCTCAAGGAACACCCGACAGCTTCACTTGATTGAGGATGCTCGGCTTGGAAGGCGCTCAAGGCATATTCCGCTTGGCCAAATTGTTATGCCTGCTTTCTGCCTCCGTTTACTAGAGCCCTGCCTAATTTTGCTTGAAAACTCTCCAGGGATGTGTCCAAGACCCAAACCTTGACTCCTGTGATGCATGTCAACGCATGCACATTGAGTGTATGCCTTGCACAATGAAGATTCCCAATGTGATCAGAGTGCGTTTTTGCCATCGTGGCAGTATGATGAACGAAGGGATAACATCCCTATAGACATCGACCAGAGCTCGGGAGTGTCTGGAGGAGATCAGGATCTTAGCTTCCAGCGATCCTCGGCGTGTTGAGACCGGTATGTGACGGGTCCTCATTTTCTGTTGTGTTGTCATTGTGTGCATACATTGTTCATCTCTTCGTTCGATAGCACTCCTTCCCAAGACACGACAATTTCTTTCATATTTGCAATTGGAGCAATCGAGCCTCCGAGATGCAGCAACTCAGCCTGAAGCTGACCCGAAAATCCCGGCAATGGCCACTATCATTCCCCCCGCGGCTGACCTGCCAAATACAACCCACGGACGGGGAAATCAAGTGGATGCTATTTTAGCTTACGAGATGTCCGTTGAAGTTCCGCCAACAAACGATCTCGGAGGCGTGCCAGGTATTAATGAGGCGCCTCCTGCGGCCCCACCCTCTATGCTGGGATCATCTGGATCTGTCAGAACTGTTGAAGGGGCACTCCTGCTGCATGTGGGCACCCCATATCCCGCCCATATTCCCACTTCTGGGACAAGCTTCTCCATTGGCAGGACCATTTTCCCTAACTTAGCGCCCGCCTTCCATTCAGCGGCTCCCGACCATGAAGTGGTATCCTACAGCGAGAATTGGAATCCTACGGTGCCAGACAGCTCACATAGCGCCGTTGACTATGGAGATGCGGGACCTATTACCCTCTATCCACACTTCAATGTCGCTTCGCATGAAACTCGCGATGGAATCTCGGGAAATGGTACAAATTGGGACGGAGGTGCTGTGAGTTTGCTTAGAGATCTGGCTTGGGATATGGGATATTGCCTCATCCCTCGGGGAGCCTGCATCTCCGATGGTGGCAATCTTGCATCGGAGTTCCATTTGGTGGTTTGAGCGTAAGTGTCTTTCTATTTTCTGCATGATCTAGTGACGATGAATTATTGCTGTAAGCCAGCCGATTCTATCCTGTGTTATCAAAGTTAATGGCTTCAGTGTTTGGATATTCTACGCTACGTCCAATCTAATCTCACGCATTTTTGGCTTTCGTGCTTGTGTTAGTTAGTCATCCGATTTTTTACTTGGTCTCAAGGCGATCGGGAGGCATATTGGCTAGCATCGCACTGTCCCTGATCTCCAAAGGCGGTTGTTCTTGAGTGGACCGAATATGATTCAAGTAGTGAACCAAGTAAATGTGCTTCTATGCTTTCGATTCTTGTTCGGCTTTTTCCGCCGGATGGTGTGTGTTGACCAAATCGGCCCCGCATTAGTTTATTTGAAACCTTGTTCTGACCGTGGGTGTCCACCTCTAGAGGACATCCTAGGCTCCGCTTGTTGGCAAACTATTACTCACCTCGATTCTTCTGCAGTCCATCGGATAACCCCGAACCTGCACACGTTGGTGCAATCGGAGAGCTAGGACTTTTCGCGAGTGCGCTACTAGAGCCTTGCTAGTACTTGCAAGGTAAACCAGAACCCAGCCCCACCCCAAGCTGCTCAGCTGCTGATGCGATGCAGACCCCGCGGATCCCGCTTACCGCCAATAGGCCGATAAGACCATATTCCCTTCGCAGGCGAGGATATTCTTAAGCTAACGATGTAGAACTCGATACACCCGGCGTGTTCCGCGAGGCCCCCTAGGTCGGTGGGAAGTGGTGGGTCAGACCCTGGTAAATGGGAACAAAACTATCAACATATTTGGTGTTCAGGATGCTCACGTGAAGCTGCTGGGCGATACGGAGGACACATTTAGGGATGATACGACAAGCATACTCAGGCTCAGGCTCAGGCTCCCCTCTCCCCTTGGGATGTGTCTCCTTCGGTGTAAGAACACTGTCCGGATACCCTGGCTCAGCACCCTCAACTAATCGAACGCCATCCAACATCATGTCCAGGCCCGCAGCCAAGCGTTGAAGGAGCGCATCCGTTCAAGGCGCCCGCCACCCAACTTATATGCCCCTTGCTCCTTTGCCCTATGCGTCGCCACTTCCTCCTTAGCCACTTCTACCCCTTCAAAGCGTGCCTCTCATCCTCTATCAATACAGCGGTGCATCTTCTAACGAATAGACGAAGTACTGCAATTTTAACAACAAGTATCACGACATAATAAATGAGCGCTCATGGCGCTTAATACCAATTAGATCAGCGGTGTCCGGCCAACAATATTTCTGTCAGGTCTATTTTTCTGTGCTCTGCTTTGTTGGGTTGTTTCCGTTTCGTAACTATTCAGCGGCGGACATGTATCTCTCTTATACCCGGGGCCCATTCGCTTTACACTCACGTCTTCTGGGCTCCTCTTAACCTCCGCTCGCTTCACATCTCTTGCCTTTGAATTGGAACCCTTAGTGGCGGTGCGTCCTCATTTTTGTCCTCATATCCGATTTGTACCCTCTTTGACACTGCCGCAACCTCTTTCTTGAGGTTGTGATGGGGCGTTTGCTTACCATTCCGAATCTCACACTCTCGACATCCTCTCAAACTGGTTCCCTGGTTGGGTCTTGGTGTACCAGCTACATCGTCTTGGTGGAATCGATGGGGACTTTTGCCGATGGATGCCGCGAGTTCATGGTGTGTTATATACCTCCTGGAAAAGAAAAACGCACTCAGCCTGGCTGACAGGATGTCTGGAGTTGGCTCGTCCAGCTTGCGCTGTCCGCTGTCCATCGAAAATTCGCTTGGAAGCACTGCCCATACCATTTTACCCATAAACGGGAACTAGACACGCGCCTGGCAGCCTAACCCTGAACTTCTTATCGTAAGACTGTTCAGCGGGGTTACGTTATCTCACTAGATTAATTTAGGCAATCAAGCACACTTGGAGCCATAATAGGTGCTGACGCGCGGCATTCAAATTGCTCAGCCCTGATGCAATCTGTACCCGATCACACAGTCCATGAGAGTCTAGTAACGTCGATATGCTGAGCCACATATGTGAGCGCCTTATCAGCTCAGACTCGAATGATCCATTCGTGCACGCACGCGCCGCTGTCGGCGCGCAGCGCTCAGGCTCGTAGTGCGCCTTTACAATATATTGTCCCTTGCCCGCTAGACATCTCAAGAAGCTGGATTAGGTGCACAGGTGACCACTGGCTCGTTGGCGGCCTTCTGCCATGGCGGCACGGCACCCCATCTTCAAATTCCCTGTAGCCGATTTACACAGTCCAAGTTCCACCTCCCTCTCGTGGGCTATGACAATCCAACGTCACAGCTATAGCTGCTGTTTGGAAAACTGCAGTAGAGAAACACAGCCATAGGCGCTGATTCTTCCTTGTAGCATAGCGTTTCAATCTATTATGATTGATATACTGGGCTTCTACTCTGGTGTAGGAAGGAGTGTGCACGTACTTATAAGCAGCCCGGATCTGCACACAGCAGCTCTCTAAGTGTACCGAGCCTAAAGATGAAGCAGCCAGGGAACATCGCCAATAAAGTGCCGCCGGACGTAGTCAGTCGCCTTTTTTTCATGACCACTAAGTGTCATTTTTGGAAAGGCCAAGCGGTAGGATTCCTCATACCCCAAGAAAATAATGACTCCATATGTAAATGTTCCATGATCAACGCCGAAGAACATAATGACAAGCGCGGTGGAATATTGTGCACCCCAAGCAATTCGACGCACACACGAAGTGAGTCAATTCATTGTCCGCACTATACTACATACATAGTTCCCACGGATATTCCGTAATTAACTTCGACGCGCTGGTCATTCCGTACCACAACCAAACAGACGAGCCGACTTCAGGAAGGGAGCCTTGCGCAAGCAGCTTGGCATCAATCATTATGCAATTCATGTATGACAATAAGACGTTCAAGTAATGACTCTCCCCACTCAATTTTCGTCGAACAGCTTCCTGTCAAAAATCGTACATTTTCGTCTGGGCCGTTGACCGGCTTGCGATGTGCTTTGCCCTTCTCAAATGGACCCATCTATGATCGTGGTGTCGCTTCACAACTCCAGGTTTAACACATGCGCATGATATGGTATATGTAATGGATGACCATGCTTTATGTCAAGTGGGCAGGACCGAAGATTGACGAGTTCGACCGATCGGAGCCGAGTCTATCAAGGGATAGTTATTAGTATCTGTATCTAACGAAAGCCATGTAAAGGTATGCAATCATTTGAGCAAGTGACCTTGTAACTATACTGTTCAACTCTCATGTATGAACGACTTTCAAGTGTGTGGCATTTAGGATCGCGATGTCTAGGATCCGGATGGGGTTTCGGCACACAGGTGCCGTTTGGCATGCAAGTGAGCGGGGGCTCCGCACCCACCTCGATTCTGTAAAGTAGCAAGACAACACCAAAAAGGGGCTCAGCTGCAATATCTTCGATATCGCGATGGAGACTAGGAGGCTTTACCGACTGGTGCTGTGGCGATTCTCGTCGCTGAGGTGAGAACGCAGCGTCCTTCCTTTTTGGCACTTGTCTATAGGGGTTTCTTGCTTGTGGATAAGGCTTGTTTGTCTATTGTAGAGCGATTGGTAACTGCTAACATTGATTTGAACACTGTTCATGTACTCGCTTAAATTGCGTGTCAAAATCGGGACATAATTACATAATACCGCCGAGCTTGCGGGATTGCAGCGGGTTGCACGATCGGGCCATCCCGAACAGATACATAGTCGTCCTCGAGCCGGGTATCGTGGGGCATTACAGCTAATTTGCATCATAATCCCTTTTACGGGATTTGTTATTGAGCGAATACAAAGCCACCTGCTCGTTTAAGTGAAAATCCGGGGTTGAACTCTCATACTATGCATGGACTCGTACCCAGTGCAACATGTAAAAAGGTCTGGAGGATGGATCCTCTCGGCCTCACAGTTCCCCAATTCCCCTAAACTTCGATCTCATGCCTTCGCATTGCTTTCTCTGTCGACTGAAAGGAAAGGTAGGTTCTCCGATGAAGCATCTTTGCATTTCAACTTCGCGTGGACAACAGTTCCTTCATCACTCAGCCTCGGTGCTTGCTCAACTTTGAAGTAACACACGATGGCTTCGCCTGATTGGGGACGCTAAAGGCGCATTCTTGCTTGGGCCAAACATTCTGCTGTATCATAAGACTCAGCGCAGTGCCATCAACTCCGTGACACATGTCTGGCCTTCTGGCACATATCGGGCCTCCGACAGGTTGTCAGTGCCATTACACTCTCACGGAAGTTAACGCTTTCCCTATCGCATCCATCCAAAAAATTAAGAGGATAAGAGTTCCTTGGCTTAACAACTTCCAGAGATGTGTCCAGCTCCCGAATCACTTACTCTGCACCGCATGTCAACACTTGCGTGTTGAGTGCATGTCTTGTTTAATAAAGGTTCCCAATGCGGTTAGAGTGAGTTTTCGCAATTGTAGTCTGTGATGGACGGAGGCTGAAATCATCCCTATAGAAATCGACCGAGGCTAGGGAGTGTCTGGAGGAGGCCAAGGCTTTGGCTTCCGGCGACCCTGGCCGTGCTGAGATAGGTACGTAATGGGTCCCTATTTCCTGTCTGTTATCGCCCATGGAAAACTCATTCCGGTTCTTTTCTTTCGATAGCACTGCTCCCCAAGACGCGGCAGTTTCTTTCATATCTACAATCGAGCCTCCGGGATACAGCAACTCAGTCTGTAGCTGACCCGATAATCTTCACAACGAACACTATCTTTCCCCCAGCGGCTGTCCTGCCAAACAGAACTCATGAATGGGAGAACGGAGTGGATACTAGTTCAGCCTACAGGGTGTCCACCGTAGTTCCGCCATTAGACGCTCTTGGAAACGTGCCGGCCATTAATGAGGCTCCATATTCTGCCTTGGGTTCATCTGGATATGTCGGAACCAATGACGAAGCGGCCCTCTTGCATGTTGGTTCCGTCCCTTATTTTCCCAATCCTGAAACAAGCCTCCCCGTTAATGGGTCTATCTTCTATAACTTGGCGCCTGCCTTTCAGCCAATGACCCTCAACGAGACGGTAACCGACGGCGAGGATTGGAGTCTTCCGATGCCGGACAACTCGCATGACGCTGTCAGCTCTGGAGGTGCTGGACCTTCGACAGCGCCTTACCCACATGTAAATACGGGCCTTTCACATGAAACTCGCGCCGAAACTCTGTGTAATGGAGCGAATGTGGGTGAGTATGCTGTGGACTGGCTTAGAGGACTAGCTTGGAGTATGGGTTACTACCTTGTTCCTCGCGGCGCAGCCATATCCGCCCGTGGTGCCCTCGTATAGCAGTTTTACTTCATGATTCTTATTTTGCGTGCAGGTGTCTTTCTTTCCACTGCATGATCTAGTGGCCATAAATTATTGATGTGGATCAGCCGATTCTGTATGCGTCCTTGCTTGTGTCATTAGCGGCTTCAGTGTTTGGATATTCCACGCCAGGTTGAATCTTCGAGTTGTTGTACACAAATATTTGTGATCTCGTGTCCCGTCATAACTCGTGTTTGTGTTCCCTAATCTATGTAATTCATTACATACTTGATCTCAAGGCGGTCGATCACCCATTGTACCGCAGCACTGTTCCTGATGCAGCTTTTACTGAGGAAGAATAATGAATACTCATGTCATTCCTGACTGCTCGCATTCGTTGATTAATGTAAATATATCAATCGGCTAAATGGACGCAATGCAGTCATGGCAGCAGGTGGCTAATGAATCGACGCTTTCCAAGTCGCAGCGGTCAGCCACTTGGGTCATTTGGACAGTAAGCAATACTATCCGATTTCTATCCAAGTCATCCAGGTAAGGACTGCGCATTGCGGGCAGGCAACATGCACGAGAGTGGATAAATATATCAATGGGGCTAAGCTGGTAATCGGTGTGGTATGTGTCGCACTGGCATGGGGGGTCAACGGCATGTCATGCAAATATGGTCGGTAAAGGTGCCAGGACCGTGCAATTGAATGAATGTAGGGTATCGACGTGCTAATAAGAGACTGCGCTCGATTAACGGCAAGGGTCTGACTGGCGCGGGCGCGTGGATACCTGAATTGGTCAGGTACAAAACAATGTTGGCCACGTCCCAGTCAGATGAATGCGAATCTGATGGTTACTCGAGGGTAAGAGCACACGGCGATAGGGCCAAAGTGCGTGGCATGGCATCGAGAGCACGCTGAGGCAAGTGGGGCAGATTCCTGTACTTGCCTATTGTCAACGCCTCAAGCGAGATTCCTGGCACCCCTGCTTCCAATTGGAGGATAAATGATTTCCAGAGAACATTGTACAGCTCGCTCATGCAGATGTCCCATTGCAGAATCTGTCACCCGGTATTTGTCGCGGTATGAGAGTGGAGCCTGTGTGCCACCAACATTCATAGGGAACGTTGAACGTTCCCAGGCCAGATGAACGGTTTGGGATCAAGTGACACGAGATGTGGTAGAAACAAATTACGCAGAGCATACGTCAACGAGACAATGAGAAAGAGATCACCGGCTCTACACAACGGTGTGTCCCTGAGGATTTCAATACACATTTGACTATGTACCAACCACAACTCCGGTCTTGCGGTGCTGCCGCACGGTTCCTAGTAACTTCGAGAATTCAAACATTATGTTGTTGGACGCATTCCACTGTTCCGTGATAGCTTGCTGGATCTTCAAGACTTGGGGCCTCTTTTGCGCTCGACCCAGCACCGAGCATTGTAAGTCTACCGGACGGGCGAATGATGAACACGAAGTTGAATGAGGATGTTGTCTATTGGCTCCGAGGCCTGACCCAGAGGTTCGGATATCGCCTGGTGCCTCTAAATCCGTGCGCCCGCAACATGGCATGCAGAGAGATAAGGTTCCTTCCACTTGAAAATTCAGATTGTCGCTTGTATACGTACTCTCGAGGATGACGCAATGGTCACTTGCTCAGCGGGCGAGCAGGTGTACGGGGACAACCTCCGCCCCCAAACGTAGTCCTGTTCAGGAATACAACTCGGAGGGGCATGTGCGTGTGAATAGCGAAGCGATTGGACAAACATGTCCCCAAGGTGTCACAGTTTAGAACCATTCCAAGGTGGGGGGTCCGTTATGGCCGGCATTGGTAGGAAGCTCTCAGTGAGGACAGGGTTACCAGTGGTTTTCTGAGCTAGCATGACATCGCATATGTGCGGTGTGGCGGGGCTTCTGTGTTGGTGATGGTGGGTTGCGCGATGAAGACGTGGACTACGCGTTAACCATGGCTAGAGCAGAACGCAGTGGCTGAGAGTCTGAGTTGGGTTCAGTCAGAGGCGCTGAGAACTGGCGCTGCAGTTCAGCGTTGACAACCCGTTGCAGAGATCTGCTTCTGCCATCGACACAAGTTTCTTCAGCTTCTCAGCTGTGATTTGTTCGGACATCCTGTTTCCATCAGGAAGATGGTTTTTGAGGATGAGCCGTGGTCATAGCGTCGTGAGGATGATGACGTGGCCGACTATGGTCTCGGGGGGACAGGTTAGTGATTACAGTGACTCCGCAGTTACAGAGTAACTGAGTCACAAGACTTTTGAAGAAGTCGAAGTCTCTTGGAAGAGTGCGGATATTGGTTCGATGAATGCACCGATATTTTTCTCCCTGACGACACAAAACCAGAGGAACCCAATGGATGATCCCCCTCGTGTACGCGCGCTGTATTACTGTAAGTTGTAACTGCCACGTCATACATAATGAGACCGTGGGGTAACAAATTACGGCACAGCAGCCGATATTTAAATTCAGTTATTATCTTAAATCTCCGATTGCTGTTATTTTTATTCTTGACGTAATCAAGCGCTCATGCAGGGAACTCATAGAATTTACATCATGGCGATCTGGCTATTTGCTCCGGTGTTCCACATGCCACTTCGTGCATCTGCTATTACTACCTCCTATCTGCTTCTTCCTCTCCTCACAGCTTCGACATCATGCTTCCACTGGCAAATTAGGCAGCTCGCAACTAATTGCCGAAGAATGGTAGCTAGCCATATACATACTGGCAACAGCTCTAGAACTCTCTTCAATTATACATTGCAATTCTTTTGCATGTTATGTATAATGGTCTTTGCGACAAGCTACATACGATAATCGGCCCAGCTCGGGCTCCTATCCCTCCCACAAGGGAGCGGCTCATTCCGCCTACAAGGGTGGGGGATGAGCCGACTACACCCGATAGAAGCCTCCTTAAACTGCTTCTCAGAAGAGAGTTGTCTATAACCTAATATAACTCAGATGCCTCCCGGACCTCGGAACAGCTATTCGATCATTCGGCTGCCACATTCTTCCACTATCTAAATTACATTTACTCCGGGAAGAGAAGCGGTGAATCTTGGGATCAGGTAACATGAATTATATTAGAAAGAAAATACGGGTCGGAAGATCAATAGTGATATGCAGTCACGCACACACCACGGAGCAAACTGAGTAATTCTGAGCATCTTGGGTAGATCGAGGGTGAAGAATAAACTTACACGTACCGTATATCTCCTAATCTAGAAGAACCACCGCTGCCCACGTCGACTCAGAGAGGGACAAGGCAGTATCCTAGCTTCTGAGCCAGGCCTCGAAGCCAGCAGTCAACATCCTCATTTGAGTTTGTCTCCGACCACCTATCCTGTGAATGATCAGGAGTTTTGAGCGCAGCAACAATCGGTGCCGGATTGACGATGTGAAAGGGACCAGCTCTGGAAGGCTCGGAAAGTTGCTGCTCAGCATGATGGAAGAAGGGCGGCATCATGTCGGACAGGGTAGGGTCAATGGAAGAGGACCCTGCTCCTAAACCTTGAACGGGAAATGAGGTTTGGATTCGGAGATTCAGCGATTCTCCGTCGAGGGTGCCACCATGCACGGATACCGCCACGGGAAACGCGTAGGGAGGCCGATTAACAGCTGACGTGGTGCCAATGTAGCTCGCTAGAAAGGCTGTGATAGAACCATCGGGCAAGCCAGTGGGCGCTTGGATCTTTGGGATATGAGGCGCATGAAGTGGAGTTGCCATCAGCGGGGTGGCGATGGGGTGTGTAGGGGTTTCTTCATCGGCTGCGCTTTGACCCATCGAAATCGAGTGTAGGTCCAGAAGAAACCTGCGAGTCTGTGGAAGATGAGCTACATACAGAAATAGAGAAGTATGAGAACGATGTTTTTGGAGAGGCTTCCTACATACCAATCCATGCACGCCCAGGCTCAGCCAGCCTTTTAGCCTCACCCAAACACTCCTGCCAAGCCCTAGCCGATTTCTGTGAAATTTTCACTTTATCCAGAGAGTCTATCAACCCAAAGTAAACCTAACAACCCCCCTTAGTAGAACGGATAAAAGTCACATGCACAGGCACGTGCGCTGAAAAATTTCTCGAAAATCATAAAATTAGTTCCGCAAATCTGATTCCAGATTTTCCATATGTTACTAGAAGCATATTTACAAATTAAGTCCAGGAATAGCATTAGCGGTGTCTCGGCCTAATGGCTAATTCATGATTTGCCTTCATTCTTGGCTGGGTTGGGTGCCAGTTCGATTCACGGCTGTTTGTGCCCTTTTTTTTTCTTTCTTTCTTACTCCCCCGGGGCACTGGGTGGGGGTTGGGCCTAATTGGGTTGGTGGGTTGGGAATTGGGTCGGGGGTTGGGCATTTGGGTTGGGAGTTGGGCATTTGGGTTGGGGGTTGGGCATTTGGGTCGGGGTTGGGCATTTGGGTCGGGGTTGGGCATTGGGTCGGGAAGTTGGGTTGGGGTTGGTGGCTGTGTATTGGGTATGTGTCTATTTTTTTCAAAATGAGTTCGGTTGGGTTGGGTTGCTCATACCGTAGTTCAGATTCAGAGTCGAGCAATTCAGATTACCACACCTTGATCATTTATTTATGATAAATATAATATTCACGACATGTATCTCTAGTTGGTTTTAAAATATATTTCCTCATTTACGTAGTTGTGCACATGGCTTTTGTCCGTTCTACTAAGGGGGGTTATTAGGTTTAGTATCAACCCAATAGACGGAAGACCTCACTGGAAATTGTCATGGAGCAGGCAAGGCATTCAATCCGCATCCTGCGACAAGATTCACAGGATTGGGAATCTGGCGACTTAACGCATCCCTAAAAAAACCGAAATGAGCAAAGTTTTAGGTAGAAGAAAATGTCATAGACACGATGTTCTGCACTGCAAGGTGAGAAGTCATGTAGGCGTCGCAACCGTTAGATCGACTGAAGACATTTTGCACTCCTCACGAGGACACGCCCGAAGGAGGTTCAAGTTTGAAAGGATTTTCGGTGGGTTGTTATATACTTATTCCAGAAGGACGCACCTTTCCTCTGAGTCGACAGATAAAACAATGTAAAAGCATGATGAGCATGACCGGTGAAGCGCGGGGTGGAGGAACATATGCCTCAGAGTCGTTAAGAATGATGGAATAAACCAGGCGCGGGCTTGAGAAGCAAGCTCTGAAATCCAATGTACTTCCCGGGCCACTTTCGTGTCCACAGTCCGTGGGAATCTGCGAATATCTTCTGCACACGTGCTCATTCCACTAAATTTAGCAAAAGGCCAAGGGTTCACAGTGGGAAGTAAATCGCGGTAAATAACACCGTGCAGCCCAGGTTTTTTTCTAGATCACGGTATTTTACCTATGGCATTTTGCCCCATGGAAAAAACCTGGTTGGCAAAAAACCTGGGTTGTTGTGCCCAGATTCCACACCATCGGTGTTTTACTCAGGGAAACCATGGTTTTGTGTTGAGTATGGATAATGATACACCGCAATCAAGTACGAAGATGGCATTATTGTAACATACATGCTTTAATCACTAAATAATACTGCGATCAATAATGGCTGGATGCTCCATGTTCAATCTCCTGATGGCAGCATTAAGATCGACAATTTAAACGCTCGGCGCTCTAATGGACGGCACAACCAGGTAGGGAGATTCTATCCCTTCAAGTGCATATATGACAACCGCAGGGGGGTGTTTATGGGGCCTATCAGGCCCGGGAGGGGGTTGTTTGGTGCGGCCAAACATCTTGGCGGCTTTCATTTTGTATTGTTTATTTTTGTTTGTCCCGAGTGGAGACTTAGGACTTTGCTTTTCTTTCAGCAGCGCTTCCTACTGCACCATACACTACACACGTCTGCAAGGCCCATCGAACGGGGAGATGAGTGACACCCTATGTGAGAAGGCGTGTACATATGGCCAGACTCTAAAATGCGTGTTTTCACTCACTCGAGTCGCTTCCGCTGTCACCCACTCTCTTTCACTTTGCGATCAGCTACACTCCACGAGCTGCCACATGCACTAGATTATGCTTTAGGTTTACCTGAGAGATAGGCCACCAGAATTATCCCCATCGGGTGGTGGATTGTCGTGCGATCGATAGATAGGTATGTGCGCTCCTTGTTCATGTACTGATCAGTGGCAAAGCCCTGTCACGACCCGGCGTTCCCCGGGGCCAGACGACCTCCTCCCTGACCTTCTCCCACGCCCGAACACTCCCTGCACACTCCGCTCGCCGCCCGTCGCTGTCTAACCACTTCCTGCTACCTCTCCACAACACCTTTCCTCTTTGTCGTTGAACGACCTAGCGGCGCAGAGCGCCACGACCCGTTGTTCCATGTTTTGCCGCACCTTGTTATCTCGCGGCGAAGGTCACACTTGACCTTCGCTGTCTTGAACACGTGCTCTTTGTTTGTTTTCCTGCTTCTTTTCTCCGCCCGCAATCTCCACGAGATCTGGCGACTTATTCCCTATTCAGTTCCTTAGTGCTTATATATGGCTTGTAACTAATGCTTGTACTGTAGTTCGAAATCAACTAGAATTACCCCCTAAAGCTTACCTCTGTCCCCGTGAGACTGTCAGGGACGCGTCCGGGGTAGAGGAGGCCCAGGTGAGACGCCCGACACTAGAAGCCTCGCAGGGTGTGGAGCAGGCGTGCGTACTGGCGGGCCCGGCTCAGGAGGCAGTCCCTGGCCACTTAGACTGAAGTGGAAAAGGGTGAGAAGAAGGCTACTTCTTCGGTTCCCACTTCAGGTATGTTTATATACATGCGGCTTAGGTCACATGATGGGTGCCACGTCATCCTCGCATACAGCCATAGTCACCCGGGTGTCCCCGTGGGGGATCCCGAGGGCGTCTGCTGTGAACGCGCGAGCTGGACATAGCGGGGGTCGCCCAAGGCGCCCGGGCTGGGCGTGTCGTGAGCGCGCTGCAGGTGGGTCAATGGTACATTGATACAAGGAAAGGTCGTCCGTGTAGAATAAAGAGAAAATAAAGAGAAGGTGAGATAAGTAAAGAGAGAGTGGAATGGAGAAAGAAAGAAAGAAGAAGGGGGGAGGAGGTAGGGGAAGACTGGGTGGCGGGGTACCGGGTGAAGTGGGGCCGGGTGGGGCCGGGTCAGGCGGGTGTGCCCTGACAGAGACCTCCGAACTTCTAAGTATCGGGACCGCGTTGAGAACAAGGTGCAACGCTCCTCCTAGAGTCGTTGAAGCCGAAATCCCGGCTCACTTGCCTAAGTAGCCTTGGCCTCGAGATCGGTGGGGTTTATCCCTCGCTAAAGCTCGGTCGGGTGTAGGACGCCTTTACCACTAGCGGGCAACGCTCGGTCACCTACGGCTACCCTCGGTGAACCTTCACACGGTTCTGACAAGCCCCTGGGGTACTACGGTGTCCATTCTGCTGCAATACCACGGCCTTGTCTCATGCTTCTTGTCGTACAGGTACTTTTCGCTTCTCGGACCTTCACTTGTTGGGTGTGTTGCTCGGAATCACGGTGTGTCATGTCATCCATCACTTAAAATATTCATCCCGTTTGCACACTTTCTCCGCTTGCACCATGCTGTATAGCCTTCCTGTATTGGCATAAGTAAATACAATATGTTCTTATCACGCTGAATACAATGATGTCCAAAGTAAGAAACCAAGGAAAAGCCTAGTATGATACCGTGGTTAATCTAAGTACAATACTGCTGCGCACACGGTAAAAAACATAGGTATTCCATTGTAAATTACGTGGAGAGTAACATGTCGCAACACCTGGAAAACCCTTGGTACAATACCTTGCGGCCACAGGTAAATCCTCAGCGGATCGTGTTTGGGGAACCCCGGTATTCGGCAAGTTTTACTAAGGGGAATCCAGGTTTTAAACGGTGCATGTATTCCGAGTATTTTACCTGGAACCTCAGGCATAATACCGGGATGTTCCACCGTAAAACACCGTGATTCTCACCCGGGTTTCCCGACGTTTTTTACTGCAATTTACTTCCCACTGTGGGTTGTGATAAATGTGCATCAACTTTACCAGGATAGCTGTCGAGGCTCACACGTCCCCGAATCCAAATGGCTTTCTATACTCGGACTTGTCGATCTCTAAATTCTGTATGCCACTGCCTGGGTGCATCACATGTTCAACAAACCAACATGGCGCCCAAACAGTGCCTATGGGATAGGGGAAAAAGGAGCAATCAAACAGAAAGGGGGTGACTAAAAGACATTGTCAGGGACATAGACTCACTGAAACGCACGTGACTACATAAAGTCTCTTGTGGGCCATTCATCGATGGCAAGTAACAGAAGACACATTCATCTTATCTACCTTCAACCATTTTCCGCTCCCACTAAACCTGGTCTCCGCACAGTTACTTTACGTCTTCGCTACTCCTAGCGCGCATTCTTGTGAGTTTACCCGCTGCTGTGAACCACCTACTTCCTAACTAGGGCTGCTTACCCCTGCTTCACTTTGGTCAACCCAGTTTTCGCGCATCCCACCTCCACCCCCATCACCTCCTGGATACCATTTTTCGGTTCAGTCGCATTTGCCACTGACCCAGTGTCCCAATCCAGACTGATTAGACATGTGATAAATCCCTTTTGCTGTTTTTGATATAATCATAGGTGCTTTTACACCCCAAATTGCTCTGTACAGCTTCAGATCCATGTGTTCAATGAAGCGAATAGTATGATGTGCATGCTTTTGCCAGCCGCAGTGGTGAAAATTCGGAACAAAGTGATCACTAGTCCGTAAATTTGCTCAGGAGGCCTAGACATTGAGCTCACCGCTACTCAGCTATGCATAAGTCAGTTGTATTTTTAATGACTCCGGCCCTGTGGCGGACATACTTGGCGCTACACCATCACTTTTTCATAATGAAATTCGCGCATTGCATACCTGTACTTAGGAGCCCACCGCTGCAAAAACTACATATAGCTACTCAATACCTATGTCACTTGGGTTTTAGCAACTCAGGCGCTACACCACTATGCTTCTTATTGTCTCAGGCCCAAATTTTCTCAAAGGGCTAGTTTAAAATATGCATCCAAGCGCTGCACGTTGTATACC